GCCCAATGCAATGCGTGTTCGACTCCGCTCGGAAAGCCACTGCCATGCACAAGTTGCCTCTGCTTTGACTGTTATCCTCCTCTAAAGACTACACAGGTCCTAAGGTTGCTTCTCTCAGTGCTGTGGAACACCACTGGCTGAGAGGAATGGCCACCGGCCCAGGGGAATGGTCACCGGCCACTGATTAAGCTATCAGCCATTTATGGATGGCCAGTCAGCACTGGAGATGGCCGGCCGGCCAAAGCTTCCTGCAAAATCTATTTTGACAGCAGCAAAGGGAAAAACAGGGCATGGCAATGCATTTCAAGCAAATGTGTGTGCCAACACATCCCCTATCATGTTTATGACTCAAAGGGACATGGTTCTCGATTCTCGGACCACCAATCGCGCATTTCAATGCGTGATGGCCCAAGAAACCAAGTATGCACTTTGATATCAAATGAAATGCAATGCACATAAACAAACAAAGAGGCCCAACCTCTATCACTTGATCAAGAGGCGAGGCATGCATGCCAAATGCAACCTAAGCATGTGAGCTAAGTATGCAACATGAGCATGGGCACAAGCAATGTACAATCCATATTAGGTGTGCAACCTATGCAAGCAAGCATGCAAGGTATGAGGCATCAATGCTAATCAACAAGCATACAAGATACAATGTGGACGTTCAAGCATGCAAGTAAGCATGTGACTTCATTCAATCATGCAACCACACGCAAGTATGCAACAACACACATGGTGAGCATGCATCAACATGCAAGGGGTGGTCTTAAAACTGATTTGGACAGCCTTATACTAGGCCCAAAATAGTGGCCAAATGCTAAGGGAATGATGACCAAATAACATGCAAGCATGCATGCACACAAGGACCAACACTTAGGCATTGAAGAGCAACTCTCAAGCACACTTAAGAGGATGCAAACATGGACATATAGCATGCACACTAAGCTTTGAAAATCATGTTAAGAATGGTGCCAAACCAAGTAAATAAGATAAACATGGCATGCAAATAAAACCCAAAATCCAAGACAAGCCAAAGGGCTTAAATCATGATCATGTGACACATGAAGCAAATTGTCAAAATGAATCAAATTAGTCCCAAATCATGTTAAGGCAAGCCCCAAAAACCACTTAGATGGCATCTAAATGATCTACACATGGAGGCATGCACAAGTGCTTAAACATGGAGCATACAACACAACCTCTTAAAGCATCAAATGAGCATTAAGTGCAAGCATGCGAGCATGTTAAGTGGACTGAAATGTCATGATAAGTGGTGCCAAACCACTAAAAATGATGCAAGTAATGCATGCTCATGGTTCATACACTTAAAGCCAACAAGCTAAAATGCAAAGGGGCTATACAAAGCATGGCAAGCATGGCTAAGACAACCTACATCAGACCTTAAGCATGGCAAAACAAGCCTAAAAGCTTCATAAAGCCTGGCCAAAACAAGCAAGCATGGTAATCTACATGCTAAGTACATGTTAAGGCAAAATGATGGCATTACAAGACATGTATGCAAGGCATGCAAGGTGTGTCTAAACCAACTAAAAACAGAGCTATATTATGACATAATAAGCACAAAAATTAGTTAAGGCAAGCCCAACATACACTCAAACAAGATGCTCTCTCAAGAGGCTAAATTGGCCCATTTCAAGTACAACAAGGAGAGGGGGTGGCCCTCTCCATCTTAGGACCTCAAGGCACCATCCTTACCACTGAAATCCCTGAAGATTTCAGTGGTGAGGAGGCCCAAACACAATGTTCCCGAAGCTCACCAAAATGGCACAAAAAAGGGGTCAAATAAGCCCTAAGAGGGGTCAAACAACCTCAAAGCTCAAAACACCCTTAACCAACTATTTAGAGTAGGCAAAAAAAAAAAACTTTTATATGTTATACACCAAGTCTAAATACAGTTGCAAAGCAAACTAAAGAGCTATGCAAAAATGAAGAATAAAAGGGATAAGTTCTTACCCTTGTTGACCCTCTTCAAGAATGATGGACCAGCAGCTTCTTTGGCTCAAACCAACTCCAAAACTTCAAGAACAGCCTCTTAGTACCTCAGTAGCTAAAGGAAGGCGTAATGGTGGGTGTTTGTGCACAAAAGTAAGACAAAACACACACAAAACACAAGAGAGAGGGAGATATAGATATAGGATAGATACACAACTCAAACCCTAAAACCAGAGCCCTCGGAAAATGTTGTCTAGCCTAAAAGAGGGAGAAGAGGCCTCCTCTTATAGACAATCCAATCTTGTAAAGCTTCCAAGGCAAGCTAACAAGAGGGAGATCCCTCCATACACGTGTATAGAGGGGAGCAAAGTTTATGCCAGCTAGCACAGCTTGCATAAAAATATCTACAAAAGCAGATGCACAGTAGTCGGCCGGCCAAAAATGCAATTTGACCAAAATAGATGGCCGGTCGACCATATATAGTGCCGGCAAGCCAAACATTTGGCCGGTGGCAACAAAACACAACCGGTGGCCTCAAGCCATGGCCGGTGGAGTGTGGGGATGGCCAATAAGCCATTCCCTGCCCCCTAAAGGCAAAACACAAGTGTTTGGTGCCAAACCAAACACAAAACAGTCGAGTTGAGAGATCCTCAGGCAAGGCGCGTAGCCGAGACCTCCGGGAACTCAAAACGAACACAAACATGGATGATCACTGAGTGCTCAAACGGTGACGTCCAAGTCTTGAGGACGGTCAAAAATGGAGTGTCTACACACGCATCTTTCACCTCTTGATCAAGCCATGATAGAGGTTGAAAGCCCCTTGGTATGTTTCTATGCATTGCATTTCATTTGAAATCAAAATGCATGACTTGGTTCCTTGGGCCATCACGCATTGAAATACGCGATTGGTGGTCCGAGAATCAAGGGACATACCCCTTTGAGTCACAAACATGATAAGGGATGTGTTGGTGCACACATTTGCTTGAAATACATTGCCATGCCTTGTTTTGCCCTTTTGTTGTTAACCTCAGTTGTGCCCTTTTCTGGCGAATACGGTGCCCTTTCGGCAAGTAGAGTGCCCTTTCTGGCAAGTATGTTGACAACGGGAGAAAGACAGAACACCTGACTCAACCGTGCCCCTATTTCATCATTTTGACCATTTTTTGTTTTTGCTTTCTACTAAAACAATTTTCACCAATATGAGAGTTAGATTAACATACTTGTTCGATTTTTGATTTGAAAATCATGCAAGTTAGGTTATGAGCACTGAAAATTTTTCCTTTTTGGGTCCAAGAAATGGTCCAGTTTTGGAAAAGATGGAATAATTTTTGAGAGATCAGTCAACCTTAGTAAAAATTCTCAAAAATTGTTTTTGCAAACAGCCACTGCTCAACGAGCACGGAACTTATTCTTGAGATGCACAACCTCAGATCCCAAGGAAAATTGCCCCTTGTTTGAGGAGAGCTGCATGGCAACAGAAAGTTGCCCCTTGTTTGAATAGCACCGCAGCGCATTGGCAACGCCGTTTGCTCTCACGTTACTTTCATAGATTCAACACAAATTGGGTGAGAGAGAGACACACATGAATCTAAAATTACCGTGATTTGTATTTTGGATCTTATTATTTTTTTCAACTTTGATGGTGCATACATCATCTTGTGTTAGAGTGTGTATTGTGTTGTGTGGGTTAGACTAAAAGAGTAATATTATGGTGTGTGTTAAGTAAAAATCAAAAGTTTAAAATATTATTGATGTAAACTAAATAATAGTGTGTACTGAAAGCATTGATGGTGTGTAAATAGAATCACCCAAAAATTAAATAGATAAAAAAATTTAACGGATAGATTAAGGATTAAAATTTAAAAGAAAATGTCCTCCAAAATAATAAAATGTACTTCTCATCATAATATTTCACAAAGAGTGTACTTCTCACCAAAGAAAAATATTCATGGGATTTAATGCTTTACACCTCCTTTAAAATAAACTTTTCACCAAAATGGTTCATTACACCAAGACCTACTCAATTATTGACAAACATCAGTTTTACGTCTTAATCTATGGATCTATATATATAGACCTCTTAACTATGAAAATAGTATAATATACCCATTTTGAAGTGGTCTGGAAGGAGTGAATGTAATATATTTTTGTAGTTGAGGGAGTCAAAATGCACGAGTTCATAGATTAGAAGATCAAAGTAATATTATTCTCTATTAGTTTAGGGGGTCTTGGTGTGATTAACTCAAAACAAAATGTGTGATTACATTTATTTAAGATATGGCCCACATAACAATAAATTAATTGAACCAAGAGGTTCTAGCATGTGTGGCTAATCGTTTGACCACTAAATCTCTCTTAGGGAGAGTCTTTTGTTTCACTCTTAGAAATGAAATGAGAGACAAAACTTAAGTGGTTGCAAGGAGTGAATATAAGTTAAACTCCCCTTATGTGCTAATCTAATAACGAACTATTAAATTTCATCAATAAAAAAAGTAAATTAAATGTACATTATACACTACACTTTTGGGATACGTTTACAAAGGTAACTGCTTGTAGACTAACATTGTGAAAGTAAAAATTAAGGAAGAAAGCCTTGTCAACATATAGTATGCAAGAATAGCCCAATAAAAATATAAATAAATAAATAAAAACATAGAATACAAGAATGCTACTACATGCCAAGCTCTACAGAGAATTGAAACAATTTTGTGGCAACAAAATACATGAAATGAGATTAAATAAAGCCTTCATCAAGAGCTATTCATACATCTCAATTCTATTGGTAGAAGTGTTAACATTCCACCCGAAATTCTAGTCCACTTCATAATGGGAATTTTCAATCAAGCACGCCAATTTGTGTCATTGCATGACAATACTACAACATCTATGTTGATAGACATCTTGTTAAAACCCACAATTATGGGCAACTTATTTCAACAAACTTTTCTAGAAAAAAAATTAGTAACATAGGTCAAACCAGAAAGCTAATATATATTTCATTTTCTCAGATTCAAATTCAAGAACTTGCATCTTAATCAAGGAGATTACACACTTCTATTGCAAAAACACTTAATAAAATTGTCCAAAAAGAAGTAGTACCAAGAGGTCATGCACACTTCAACGAGGTGAAACCAAGCTTGTCGCCAATGAGGATTTATGAACAAAATTGCAACAATCCCCAACAACATAACAATATATGAGACTAGAAAGCTGACATAGAAAACCTCCATATCTATGAAACTACCATCTTCAATATTTCTTTCTAGGCCTTTTGACATTGTTGATGTTGATACAATTTTAGTGCAGTTGGTTTGCAAGGGAAGTCCGCAAAGATGGGGATTTCCCTCATAGCTACTTTTTTCAAAAGTTGCGAACTGAGCTTTTCGATCTGGGGTTGCACCTGATAAGTTGTTGTATGCCACACTAAAGACTTCCAACATGTTCAATTCAATCAGTTGAGAAGGGATCTTTCCATTCAATCTATTGTAAGAGAGATCCAAACTTTCTATCTGCTTTAGTTGTGAGAATGTTGACGGGATTGATCCGTATAAATTGTTATGAGACAAGTTTAGAATATGGATGTTGCTCAAGTTTCCCATTTCCAATGGGATTTCTCCTGTTAAGTGGTTGCAAGAGAGATCAACTCCAGACATGTAGTCCAAAATATTGCCTTTATATGCGTAGGATCCATGCTTTGTTGTGAACTCCACTTTTTGTTGGACATCCAAAGAGTGGAAGACAATATTTTCATATGCAATATCCATCGGATAATGGTCTTCTAGTGACTTTGACCCCTCAACAAAGTTCCACAATGAAAATGTTAAATATTGTTGAATTCCAATTTCTAGAGAAGATTTTTCATGGGTTGTCTCAAAAGGTATTTCATGAAAACAAGGTGGTATGGGACCAGAAAAGTTATTTTCAGAAAGGTCCAATATGCCGGAATGTTATTGTTTGTAATATGTGATGCTAGCAAGTATCCCTTGAAACTTGGAGATTTGTTAGGTGGACGAGATCCATTCCTTCCTTATATATATATAGAGTTTTGTCTTGTATTGTTTTGAAAGGATTTCGACTATCATTCATGCAAACCCCTTTATTATTTATGCCATTCACTGAGTATCCAAGCTCACCCTCTCTATATATATGTAGGTGATGAACAAGAAGGCGGTGACGCCTAGATGTGATTTCTGGAGCTTGTTAATTGAGCCTT